CGGTGACTTGGGACACCAAAAGCCAATCCTATCCCAAGTGGCGTCTCTGAAAATCAAATAAATAATCCCATTTCGAATAATGTCACTTTAAATGGAAAAAAAACCCCTTATACATTTATCCTTCGGGGTAGATGTGTAAAAAGGAGGTGTGACATCGGTTACTTTAATCCAGGGGTTATCTGAACCCAGGCGAACCCTCGTCCATGGTCTATCTGCAATGCCTTAAAAGTTATCTCCGATCTAAGTTCAAAGCAAGTTTTCAGGTCACCCGAGCTTGAGCAAACTCTCACTCGGGGACTGCTTTCGAGAGCCTAAACGCTATCGTTATTCTCGCACGATCAAGTGAGTTCCCCCTCGAGGACTATCGATGTGGTCTGAAAGGTTAGGTTTCGTTCTATAAATTCGAAGCCCTATTTTCACTCGGCGGTCCCGGCGGCCTAAGCTTGTATCTATCCAACCCGGGCTCATCCGAGGGATGACAAAGGGCTCCGCAGGATATCGTGCTAATCAATCAGGAACCAAGGAAATACCTAAACCCGGGCCCGATATTCGGACCGATCGGTAGAGTCATGCACTCAGATTCTTCACAAACGCAAATAAAGGAAAATCCAACATAAATCAGAAATGAAATGAAGAAACTTCTTTGCATTAATAAACGTTGATTACAAAAAGCCCATGAAGGGACCTTACTCACGATTACAAAAGCCCACGAAGGGTCCTTATACAGAAACAAAGAAGCAAAAGTAACAGCTAAAAGTCTAGTCTACTCTCGGGGGAACATCCTCGGGAGCAATGCCTTTGAGAATCGTTTTTTCGGGTCCCCGCCTCGACCTTCCAAACGGCACCTTCAAGGATGAGGAAGAAGCAGAAAACGATGAAGAAGCAGAAAAAGATGAAGAGGGGGTCGTGGCTCTCCAAAGAGCAAAAGCTCTTAGCTGGCCTTGCCGGCACGGCTACTTTGAGTCCACTTCTTGGAACATTGTGCCGTGCAGGTTAGTAGCTGGTAGTGCCGCTTCACTCCATGGAAAGCAAAAGGGGTGAAGTGCCACACCCAGCCGAAGTAGGGAGGTGAGCAGCTGTGTAAAGTTCGAACATCCTCCGGAGCAGCTGTGTAAAGTTCGAATATCTTCCTGAGTAGGAAAAAATCCAATGCCCCCTCCGCTCATCGTCTCGAGCCAACGACGACAGCAGTAACAACAACAACAACAATAACAAACCAGTGCCGTAACACAACTGACAAGAACGTCCTCGTATGACCTTGCGGCCACAAGCTTTAAACATGGGAAATAAAATGGGATAAAGATGAAGAGAAGTAAGGAGTAGAAGATAGTTGAAGAATGACTGAATGAAGTTTTGGTTCAAGAAAGCTTCCATTTATAGAAAGGAGGGTGTAACCAACAGCGCAATCAATGTCTTGGGAGATCGGATCGGCAGGTGCAGTCAATGCCTGTTGGAAAACAGATCGGCGGCGATATTATCGCCTTGAGAAAGTAAACTGGCACTACATCAAGTGTTTCTCGTAAAGACGTGTCGATGGGACGTCTCAGTTATTGGAAAAGCTGATGTCATGAGCATGACATCATCGCAAGAGGCTCGAGGGGATTGGTGTCAAGATCGTTTCTTATCATTTTATTCTAAGAAACACGGGGACTATCTGTATACGGTAAAAATTAGAGGGCTCGATTTTGTGATCATTAGGGTGCCTAAAAAAAGACCACCCCCGGGAGGCTCGAAGTCTAGCTCGGAGTTCGCCCCCGAGGGTTCGTGATGATCGACATCGAGGCAGTACAAACCAACGACTGCGACGCACCAGCGAAAAGTTCCCAAGGCACATGATCAAGACTCACAAAGCCTGCAAGGGAAACACTAGTCTGTACCAGACTAGTAAGTAGTTGTTCCAGCTATGTTTCTTTGTAATAATTACTCATGTACTATGATGGGATTTCCCTCCTTATATAAAGGGGATCCTTGTCATTTTGTAAAGTGATGAAACACACAAGATACTTCATTCAATAGAAGAACGTTCTTTCTGCTCTTTAACTTAAACATACGGTCTATTTGGCTATGTGGCTTACATTTATGCTCTATTTACATTTATTGTATATCATTAATCGTTCTTCACTTATTGCTCGTTATTGATCATAAAGAGCCGCAATCACAACCCTAATAGTTGTTAATCCTCCATCGACCGCCCTTAGCCGGCCATCTAACTTGGCATCGAGGCCCCGCACGCGCTAGCTCGAGGCCCCGATTCTCAACGGTTTGGTTTGGTTTCAAAGCCATCTTCAATCTCTTATATCATTTTCTAATCTCGTCACTTAGCATCTACTGCTTAACAACTAGCATAAAAATAGATCACATATTTTTAGAACCACAAAATCAAATCTAATTGTTATTACCATTTTTAAGGTAAACACTTTACTTGAACGTATGGTTGTCAAAGCTTGATGCACCTTTCCATCGGCATCTTTTGGATCTAAGTCATATAAATCTCCTCTTCTACTCCCTTTTGGCAGTAAATTCCTTGTTTTCTTGTCCTTAACAACAAATTCATAGTCAGTAAATTCCAATAAACATTCATTATCACTCGCAAGTTCACTCACAGATAGTAAATTTTTCTTTAACTTAGGTACAACTAGAACAAACTTTAATTGTAGATTTTTTTCCAATTTCTTTATTCCCAACATGTGTAATTTTGAGTCGTTTTCCATCACCTATCATAAATGAGTTTGGGTCATGGAATAAGACAGAATAGATTAGATTACCTGTTGATTGTACCATATGACGACTTGCTCCAGAGTCCATGTAGAGGTTATTATCAGTTTGCTCAGTGATAGATGAGGTTAAGAGCTTGTGGTATTTCTTGTTGAGATTGATATGAATAATCCCACCTATAAAAACATAAAACAGTAGTATGATTATTTCTTCCACAGATCTGACATGGATTTGATTGTGATTGTTGTCCCTTCTGATTATTTGTTGCACCACCAAGTTGTTTGGGATTTGAGTAATTGTTGAATCTAGGACCAAAGCCTCCTCTTCCTCTAGCTTGTCCTCTTTCTCTATATGAATTTCCTCTGCCTTTACCAAAAAATCCTTGTGTTTTTTGAACTTGGAAAGCCATTGCTTGATCTAATATATCTTTTTCGCCATCTTCTTCTCTCATCTCGAAACCACTTAGGGCATTGGCAAATTGAGTGAATGTTGGAAATGGAGGTTTACCCAACATTACAGTCCTTAGAGTCTTGTATTTATTTCCTAGACCCTTTGCAAAGTATATAACTTTATTATCTTCATCCAAAGGTTTGTGTATAGCAGTAAGACTATCACAAATTCCCTTGAATTCTTTAACATAATCATCCACCGTCTTTGAACCCATCTTGATACTTTGGAGTTGTTGATTCAATTGGAACTCCTTATCCTTGCTAGCATGTAGAAAATTATCCTCAAGACTTTGCCAAATTGTTTGGCCGAGGTGCAGCCAATGATGAGGAATCGACTCCTCAAATTGTTCCCGTGAGCTAACTTCTAACTCAAGGAATTTTGGATTAGGGATTTCCTCCCCTTGTTTGTTTGTCTGGACAGCAGGAGGTGGATCCTTGCTGATTATATCTCCAACTTTCAGTGTTCGCATTAACTGAGTTATTTAGGTTTTCCAAACTAAATAGTTAGAGGCTTTTAATTGATGAAGGGAGGCATAAGATAAGGAGAGACTAGCAGACGTTTCAGCAGCCATAGCAGCGTAAAGATAGACGTCAGGATTCACAATTAATCTTGGTTAGAACCAAGCTCTTGATACCATGAAGAAATAAGCAAACCAGGGAAACAAAGAACAAGAAAAAACTTTATTTATAAGGCTTTCCCTTAGTGTTTACACATCTCGCTCTCTTGGTATAAATAATAAGATACGCATAAACCTTTTCCTAAAAACAAACAACTTTGTAAAGGTAAAACCTATACGACTCCTAACTGCCAACTTTATTATTTTACAAGGAGTTGGACTCTAGTTGAGAGTTTGATACACACTTACTTTCAGCTTTTAGTAAGATTAAGAAGTCTAAATCTGAATATTAATATGTGTATTAAGATTAAAACAGTTGAATCTGAATACACATTTGAATTTTAAGATGTTGTATTAAGACCTAAATACTAAATATCTACGATTATTTGTTTTCTCTATATCTGAATGTGTAAATATTTTTTTTATTTAAGAAATTAATAAGTATAAAATCAAATCAAATAGTACTAATTAATTTAATATTATATTAATAAAATGTTTTAAAAATTATATGGTAGGTGGTGGTTATGATGGCTAACCGTGGTGGTTGCAAGTGCCGATTGGGTAGTAGCTGATGGTGGTGTTGTTTGATAGTGGTGATTATGGATAGTAGATGGTGGAGGACAGTAATAGTTAACAGTGGTGTTTGATGATGGTGGTGACTCATAATAGTGATGAGTGATATATAGTGGTGGTTGATAGCGGTGATTGGTGATTGTTGTGGTAACGGTGATTGGTGGTGATGGTTCTAAATGATGGCTAGTGGTAGTGACAACTGACATTCATGCTTGTAGTGTTGGTGATTGTGGCTGAGGATGGTGGTAATGTGTGATGGGTAGTGGGTGGTGGTAGTCTCTAATGGTATGGACAGCGATAGCAGTGGCGACGGTGATTAGTGAAGAAAGTATAGGAGTATAGTGAAAGATCATGTTTACAAAACTTTTTGAATGTATAACATATTAATGATATTAAGACTTTGTTATAGATCTTAATCATCAAGATCTATTCAGATCCATTAAGTGATTATAAAATTAAAAAAAATATCTTTATGGTTAAGATCTGAATGATTAATATTTAGATCTAAAATAAACACAATTAATAATCGAGATCTGAATAATTAAAATTTCGATGACCTCCTTTAAATGCTAACAAATGATGCCTTAGCCCCTTCTCATAGAAGGCTTAATTTATAGAGTTGAAATTACTAAATATAGTCATCTTATGCATTCGAACTCATCATTTTCATACCTAAAATACACATACACGCGAGAACAAGAAGTCCCATATTCTTAACTCTATTTCAATGTATTGCCAATGTCAAGCACAAAACGATACTTCACGTCCGATTTCACAAGACGCTCTAAAGCTGTATTCACGTAGTCCATTGGCACGACTTCAACATTTGGTGTAATGTTTTGCTCTGCCGCGAAATTTACCATCTCTTGTATTTCCTTCATCCCTCCTACAACACTCCCTCCTACTAGCTTCCTACCTGTTTTTCACATTATTCAATTGTGTATCATTGTTTGCAGTTTAATCAGAATGAGAATAGATAGAAATCGCGGGTCAACCATCACAAGCTTCCCATTAGTTTTCAACAAATTAATCAATGGCAAAAGAGGGTGAACTGCAGAGACAGTATCAATGATACCGTCAAGTGAGCCCACTGCGGCCTGCTCATACATGTACAAAACCAAAATTAATAACCAAACTAGTTTGAAATTGAAGCGTAGTTAGTTGACTGGTTGAGGTAAGGACAAAAATTAATATTCTTATGTCAAACTCCCGTTTAAGATTGAAGCATAGTTGATTGATTGATCGAGGTATAAAGTCAAAAGTCAAATTCACCTGCATTTGGTCAGGGTCACGACTAACCAAAAATGAGTCTGCACCCAAACGCTCAATTGCTTCTTGTTTTTTATTAGCAGATGTACTAATCACACTCACTTTAGTTCCAAATGCCTTTGCGAATTTCACAGCCATATGGCCGAGACCACCAAGACCAACAACACCAATGCGCATTCCGGGCTTATCAAGTCCATAGTATTTCAACGAGCTGTATGTTGTAATTCCAGCACATAGTAAAGGAGCGGCTTCTATTGGAAAATTCTCTGGCCAATGAACTACATAATGTTCATCAGAAACCATGATATCGGAGTAACCTCCATACGTTATAGTTCCATCAGAGTAAGTACCATTGGATGTCATTATTTGATCATGACAGTAATTTTCGAGATTGTTGGTACAGTTTTCACATTCGCGACATGATCCTACAAAGTATCCAACCCCTACTTTGTCTCCGACTTTAAACTTTTCCACTTTGCTACCAACTTCGGTTACCACACCGACAATCTCATGCCTGAAAAACAATTGAGATTGTCAAAAGTTTTGATCTCATTAATTCAAAATTATAATGGCATCTAAGACATAACATGTTACCTAGTTTCACTTTAAAGTTGCAAGATGAAGGTAATAGGTAATTGAACAGCTACACATCTTATCCTTGAGATAAATCGCGCTAGATAGTAAAACACATCAAGAACACATTATAAAAATAAAGAGTTAATACACTAAAACCCCCTAAAACTATCACGCTTTTGTCAGTATCCAAAATCCCGAATAGTTTAAGTTGGAAACTGACAAAAACGTAATAGTTTAGGGAATTTTAATTTTAACTCAAAAAATAAATTAGCAGTCCTAACTCCTGTGCCCCCTATGCCCCCTCCACTCAGGTATTTCCTTGGGATTAAAGACAACTTTTGCTCTAGTATTAACATACTCTTCTTGAGATTCAAATTTTTTTTACCATATAGTCCAAACATTTAATAGAAAGAAAAAGTAGCCCAGATTAGGATTTATCACAAATATCAATATGTTTGTAGTATATCTGGCGCGGACCCAAGATTTTAACGTGATGGCGATACCATTATTTTTTTCCATTAGTGCTATATAATTATTTTTAAGGTATACATACATATATTTCTGCCAGAATTAGGGGGATACTTACCCAGGTATAACGGGATACTTGCTGGTGCCCCATTCATTCTTGAGCTGATGAAGATCAGAATGGCAAATTCCACAATACAAAATTTTGAACTGCACGTCTTTCTCACCCGTGACTCTGCACCCATTTCAAACCAAATTAAACCTCAATTATACTTTTCCAAACCCAAAAATTCATTTTTTAAAAGAATGATAAAAATCTTGAGAAATTTAAAGAATTACCTTCTTGAAAAATTGAAAGAAGAAAGAACACCAGAAGTGTCTTTAGCTGCCCATCCAAAGGCCTTTACTGGATGCTCATTCTCATGTGATTTTTCCATTTTTTGATGATTCTTGTTTTTGAGGTTACGTACTATGTATAGCAATAATAAGAAAGAGAAGTGCATGCTACTGCTGCCTCCACGTTAGGGGTGGGTATCGGTCGGTTCGATTGTGAATGTTATCGGGTAGGCATATCGGTTATCGGTTTACAAATATGCTAAACCGATAACCGAACCGATAAGATATCGATTATCAGGTATCGGTTAATCGGTTATTGATCGTACTCGATTCGGTTATCGGTTTACCTGATAAGAATCAAAAACATCCAAATATTTCATGCTTTTATTATAGAAATCATGATCATATTGTTCAAAGAAAGAAACTGAATTTGTGTTCTTAAGAAAAGAGGGGTTAAATTTCTACTTTAGAAAATAAAATTTTCTTTGCATGTGAAAATCCCATGAGTGATCTCAATTTTCAGAGCAAGAAATAAGTCATTCAACAATCTAATCTTACTAACTATCTCACTGCGGGCGGGCATAATTCATAGGAAAATAATAAAATCCGGATCTTATAAATGCAAAGAATCAGTGCAACAAAAGAAATAAATAGAAAAACTAAAAATCTGAACAATTAATTCTTTAAGGTTTAAAATTTAAAATTTTAACTGAAGAATTAAGATGAAAAATTCAAAAAAGTTTAAAACTTACTCAAATGACTAAGGTCTGAAGATGAAGAGTGAGAGAATTGAGAGAATGAAGCCATAAGGTGGCTTTATATACTCAGTGGATAAAAATATAATTTTGATAAAGCTTATTGGGCTATCGGTTAAACCGTTAATAAAATTGGGTAAACCGAGACCCAACCGATAACCCAATAGTCAAAAAATATTAAACCGTTACCGAACTATTTACCCAATAACCCGATATCGATAATCCAATAGCATATTATCGGTTCGGGCTATCGGTTATACCCGATATATGCCTCGTCTTACTCCACGTTGCAATACCTAATTCAATTATCTTATACCTAATTGCAAGACTAAATACTTTGGTGGATAGACTTGCCAACTACAGAAGTCCCAAAACCAAAAGTGCACATGATGCTAGAAACAAATTTTGAAATAGCATAATACACCTCAAAAAGCTATGCCAAATCTTATAATAGGCCAAAAATAGTCAAAAATCTAAATTAACACACTTCTAAATGTGATTCTATGATAAATTCCTTTTTCGCATTTTTCATTAAAGTAACAATTATAGTTTATTAAATACTCGACGAAAATCAAAAGTATTCATTTTTGACAGCCTTATGGAATCAAAACAACTAGGAAGTACATTTAAGTGAGCCTTTTCAACTTACCACAAAATATAAGGATCATTTTTGTTGTTTTCGCTCACATTTTAGGTGTGTTTTTAACAAAAAATGATCAACATTATTTTTGTGAAAAGTGAAGCAAAGTAAAATGTTTTTTATGTAACAAAACAAAGAATACTGACTTTTGGATAATGCCTACAAAGCTAGATGAACACAACAATAATAACATATTCATAGCTTGAATTCATAGCCTGTCTTAGTAAATAGATTCAATACCAACAACAATAATAACATATTCAGTATAATTCCACTAGTACGGTTTGGTGAAGACAGAGGTACACAGATCTTACCCCTACCCTGTGCAGGTAAAGAGGTTGTTTGGGATAGACCTTCGGCTCAAGAGTAATTAGATTTGTAATTAAATATTTATGAATATTTAATAAACTTTTTACAAATACAAAATTTAAACAAATTAAAAGCTAATGAATTTTTCCGAATCATACCTACTTCTCCAGCTCCTGCCCTAGAAGCAAAAGGCTATATATCTCACAGATTTTGTGTACCATTTCCCATTTATGGGTGTAGTTGTGTGTCAGTTTTAGACTTTAGTCCATGATCGAACATGAGTTCTTTTTTCTTTGGTTAAAGGAAGAACTTCATTAATACTAAGTTAAACGAGAAACAGGGTTTGCAACTGAACATATAGTTCTAGTTTCAGTTACATCAAAATGTAAATGCGAGGAAATAAAAGGTGGGGGTTGTCAAAAACTTGAACATCCCGAAGATTAGGTTAAATCATTGATTTGCCATATTTTTCTAGTGCATTATACCACACCGTTACCCTCCCCATACGTGTGGACAAGTTGTTGGACTTGGAGATCATGTAGCATCAACCTGCAGGCAGTAAATAAATGTGAGTGTTTGAGATTGTCCATATCAAGGATTTGGGTCAATACCTGTGAGTCTGTTTCCACGAGTAATGGATGTAAATTTCGAGCGAGTGCAATTTTGAGCCCATAGAAATGTGCAAGGAGCTCAGCTTGGAGTACATCAGTGTTGTGGATATGTTTGATATACCCAACGATCCATCTGCCTGTGTGATCTCGAAATACCCCCTGTTGGAAATCTAATTCAAAGTTGTAGTAGGAAACCAAAGTTGTTTAGGATTTGGTATTTGCTAGTTTATTTAATTCATGTCTAAATAGGATTAGATTTAATATAGGAATAGGCTTTGTTATTTCTAATTAAAATATTTTTCGTACTATTATAAATAGGAATATTACTAACTTATTTTAATGTGTGGAGATCTTTATTTCATATCCAAGAATACTTGAAGTGGTTATTCCTTGGGTAAGTGTTGTATAATATTTGTTGATAGGCAGAGGAGGTGGAGAAAAATCCAGTTGATGTGTTATTCCAAAATGGTTGGTCTACCGCAAGAGGGAATAATTGAATTAATGTGTTACGAATAAGATTGATTATTTGTGAAGGTAAGTTGAAACATAGTGAAGAGAGATCCCGTGTATTGTTTGTTATGAGGAATGTGAGGGGTGAAAACAATTCATGGTGTGGCAGTGGTCCTTGAATGAGTTGTCGAAGTGAGGTGTTAGTAGCAATCCAATGGTCTTGCCACATATGAATAGAGTGGCCTGTTGCAACATGCCAGCTTGTACCTTGTCGATATAGGTTAGATACTTTTGTCATACTCTTCCATATATATGAATCATTAGGGTTAGAATGGATGTTATTGTATACGGTGGAAATCGGGGCTATCAATTTCGTCCTTTGATGGAAAAAGTGATACCACGTCGGAAGGCCAGGATGTTGAGTTCGGGGTCGAAGATCCTTTCCAAGATCGAGGTCGATATCACTTACCGAGATCAGAAGAGGGCATACTTCGAGATGATGCCGGTATAGTTCAGTAACGGAAAAAGCGAGATACCCGCAAAAGATCGAAGATCATGGCATGAATTTCGAAATGGATTGGTCCTCGGCGGTTAATCAGTTATCAAATATGATTTCCCACTATAATTAGAAGTGTACCTTATTTAGGACTCCCCTATTATATAAAGGGGGATCCCATCCATTTGTAATCATCATTATTCACATAGAAGAATATATACACTTATTACTTTCTTGCTATTTCGCTTACTGTTCATCACAGTTGCTTTATCATTTGCTATTATCACACCTCGAGGCTACTACAAGTCGAGGTCGAGATTTAGCTTGCGTACTGGTTTGATTTTTTTTATTATCTAATTTATCTATTTAATTCCTTGTTTATCAATTGGCATTGGATGAATAAAATATCCTTATAACCACAATATAAGTTTAATTGTTACTCGAATTTTAGGGTAAACAGTTTGGCGCCCACCATGGGGCTAAGGATAATAGTGATTGTTTCAATGTTGATTCTGATAACACACGTTATTTCACACTTGTTCTTGTCAAGTATTTTTGCTCTCAGGTTTAAACATGTCAAACTCACAAAACGCACCCGTACATGGTGATGATGGTCTCGGATTTTACGGGGAAAACAACAATGTAATTGCTCCAGGAGCCGGGGTGCCACCGGCTAATCTCGGGGGAGCACCGGTTGCCGATCCAGTCTATATTAGTTCGCACGTTGCTCTAAATGTGGACCTAGGCGCGGACCCCGAAGGGAGTGTACGCAGGGAAGGCCGATCTGGTGGCCAAGGTACACAGGGCAGAGGAGACGGAGGAGTTAGTCTCCAGGTGATATTCGAGATGCTACAGACTCAGCAGGCCGCTATTGCTCAGTTGCAGAATCAACATAGGACTCCAAGTGGGGTCGAGCCAGAAATTACTCACCGTACCGAGCCAGTGCCAGAAAGGTCGAATGGTAAAGAATCAGGGACCGATCCTGCAATAATGAAAATGCTCGAGGAGCTCACCAAAAGAATTGAGTTAGGAGAGAAGAAAATCGAAGATAACTAAAAAAGTGGAAGCATACAACTCCCGAGTTGATCAGATACTGGGGGCACCCCCAATCCTAAAGGGTTTGGATTCGAAAAAGTTCGTGCAGAAGCCTTTTCCTCAAAGTGCGGCCCCGAAGCCCATTCCTAAGAAGTTTCGTATGCCGGACATACCTAAGTACAACGGGACCACCGATCCTAATGAACACATCACTTCGTACATGTGCGAAATAAAGGAAAATGACTTAGAAGATGATGAAATCGAATCTGTGCTGTTGAAAAAATTCGGAGAAACCCTTTCGAAGGGAGCAATGATTTGGTATCACAACTTGCCACCAAATTCCATCGACTCATTTGCCATGTTAGCAGATTCTTTCATAAAGGCATACGTCGGGGCCATAAAGGTCGAAACAAGAAAATCGGACCTTTTCAAGATAAGACAAAGAGATAATGAAATGCTGAGGGAGTTCGTATACCGATTTCAAATGGAATGCATGGAGTTGCACCGGTCACAGATGATTGGGCTGTTCAAGCTTTCACTCAAGGGTTGAACGAACGAAGTTCGATAGCGTCACGTCAGTTGAAGCCCCTTCCGGTTCAGCTGTGACTTGGGCAGATATGCACAATCGATATCAATCAAAGATCAGGGTCGAGGACGACCAGTTAGGAGCCCCTTCCGGTTCAGTACATCCAAACAGGTCGGCAGTTAAAACCCCGAGGGACGTCAGTAGAGAACTAAAGTCGAATAGAGAACGATATCAACCATACACCGTAGATAGAAGGAACAATGGTTCAGGACGCCATTCTGCCGGAATGATCGAAGAAGTGATCGAGGACAGAATTCTCGAGGACTTTGAGCAAAACTGGTTTTGATAAGCATGTCGATCACACAGAGGCACCTCGATTATCGGAATACAACTTTAGCATCGACGCGTCGGGCAATGTATCGGCAATCGGAAGGATCAAAGATACTAAGTGGCCCAGACCCATACATATCGATCCTTCCCAAAGAAACCCAAATTTGATGTGCAAGTATCACGGCACGCATGGTCACAAGACCGAGGATTGCAGGAAATTGAGGGAAGAGTTAGCCCGTCTATTCAATGAGGGCCACCTTTGAGAGTTTCTCAGCGATCGAGCCAAGAATCATTTAAGATAAAGGGACGCCAACAGGAAAAATGAACAGGAGGA